TTGGAGGCCAATAATTAAGACTGGGCATTGAGCCGGGCCTAACGAAATCAATGGTTTTGCCCACTTATATTTGAGTTGAACCTACTTTTTAGGAAAGGGTAAATGGCAAATAAGCCCATGACAAGGGCACTTAATTAAAAGAGGGACATCTAATTTTTTTGTCTTTCAAATAAATCCAGTCCATTCAAACTTATTTGCAAATAAGGAAAATCCTTTTATATATACCAGAATTACCCCCAATTCATTGAAACCCAATTCAACTTCAATTTCATGATTTCCACCTCAATTTAGCCAAATTTCATCAATTAACCAATTTTAACCATAATTTCAAATTTGACCCCAATTTTGACCCGCCACCACCGGAGACCACCGGTCGCCGCCGTTGACCGGCGTTGAATTTTTTTTTTTTTTTCTTAAAAAAAATATTTTCATTAATATTATTGTCATGGCTGCTAAATTACTGTCTCCGGCGGTTATTTAAATGCGGAGACAATAATTTAACTGTTATTTGACTTTTTTTTTCTTCAAAAATATTTTAATTAATATTACTGTATTCGTTGCTAAATTATTGTCTCCGTCAGTTATTTAACTGTCGGAGACAGTAATTTAACTGTTAATTGACTTTTTTATTCTTAAACAAATATTTTTAATTAATATTACTGTATTCGTTGCTAAATTACTGTTTCCAACAGTAATTTAACTGTCTTAGACAATAATATTAATAATATTACTGTTCGGGAAAATAATATTCATAATATTATTGTCCCAAACAGTAATATTACTGTCTGAGATAGTAATTTAGTAGCCAAGACAGTAATATTAATTAAAATATTTATTTTCTAAGAAAATAAAAATTCGAAAAAAAAAGTCAACGCCGGAGACCGGCCGGAAAAAAATTTCAGGAAAAAAAAAGTTTTCAAAAAAAAAAAAAGGTCAATGGCGGTCTCCGGCGGTCAACGCCAGAATCTAGCCGGAAAAAAAAACATTTCAGAAAAAAAATTATTTTCTGAAAAAAAAAAATTGGGGGTTAATGTGATATATTTGTTTAAATCCGGGGTCAATGTGTAATATTAAGGAAGTTAGAACATAATGGGTGGAATTGATTAGAATTATATTATGGAGGGTATTTTAGACTAAAGACATGGGGATGAGTTTAATTGAGAGACTGTTTTTTTTTTGTGGACCAAAATGCATTTAAGTCCCATGTGATGGGCCTTTTTGCCATTCGCCATTTACTAAAATTGATTTATTTATGAGTCGAGTTAGAGCCTATTATGGCTCAACCTGAACAATGCCCGACCGATTAGGTTAATAATAAAATATATAATATATTTATTATTTTAATGTTATGACTCAACGTACAAGTTACGACCGTAAGAGATTGTTTTATTTTGCACAATGAAAGGAATTAAGTGGTCGCACCGACAATAAGTAAAAGATGAATCAAATGTAAAATACCCACCGAAATCTAATTACTGAAATTTAGCCGAGATTTGAGGATATAAAGTATTTCAATAATAAGAGTTACTAATCTTTTTTTACTTCTTTCAATCTTGTTTTTATGTTTTCTAATAATTTGCAACGATCGTTTAGTGTTTTTTTTTTTGATTGACTTCAATGGAGGTAAATCTTGTTTATCACTAGTTTTTATACAAAAAAAAAATTCTCATTACAGTTATATAGTAATGGGGTCCGATATAAAGCCGCAACCCGAAAAAATACATAAGTCGAGTTAATGAGGCTGATGGCATGTGAGCTTGAGCCAATACCAATAATTAATTTTTCAGATTATGATAGTCGATTTTTTGTAATTTGCTAAAAGTTCTACGTTATTCAATCTCATCTTCATCCCGTCTAACTAACTGCACCCCGTGAGACCGTCCAACCCGCTCTACCCTGTCAAATCTGCTCCATCCGTGCTCTCTGTTGCTGCCATCGTCGAAACTATGCCACACAACCAAACACATGCGCACGCGCACGCGCGCACACACACACACACACATCACACACCTACATGTACACATACGAAATTACAAACATGTACACACATATAATTTTGGTTACACTCGTTCCCTTGTGCTGTAATCTAATAATCATGAAAACCAAAACGGAAAAATATGAAGAATTGTTTGGTGATGCAAATAGCAATGTTGGTGGTCATGCATGCATCATAGATTTACGTTTTTTTTTTTCAGTTTTTTTTTAACTAAATTATGTAAATAATTTTTCTAAGCTTTCTAATTAATCCAAATTTCGTTGTAAAATTACATGAAAATACATGTCTTTTTGCTAGACTTTTGCTCATTAGTTAACTAAGTTCTGTAAATAATTTTTTTAATTTAATTAAGTTCTTGCTTATTAATATAACTAAAATTGTGCATATTAGCGTCACCGTTATTGTTAGTTTTTATAAGCAATTTTGTTAGAGTGACTCCAGATCTATCATTAGAGATAGAGCACAAAAACTTTTAGCAAAAGTGCAAAATCCGCTTGTTATTAATGTTAGATGCCATATGTTTGGAAAAATTACAAAAAATCCCCCAAACTTAGGCTAAATAACAAAAAAAATGCCCCACTTATCTGTAATAACCAAAATCTCCCTCTTATTAAATGTTGATCGAGTGTTTTAATAAAAAAAATGTATACTGTCCATTATACCTTATGTTAAATAGGTGAGAAATAAAAGAAAATATCTCAAATTGTGAAAAGTCACACTGTAAGAAGTTGGTGTAAGACGGAAACAAACCTCATGGATGTTTTGGTAATTTATGAATAAATATGGTGTTTTTTGTTATTTATTCTAAGTTCATGGGGGTTTTCGTAATTTTTTTAATTTTTTTGGGGCTTCCAGCTAATTTCCCAATTTCTTAATTTAATATAAGAAACTAATTTTATATATATTAAATTATGAATTGATAAAATAAGTTGAAGTAGCCGATGTGCATGTGCGTGGTGGACCCCACAAGCCGCCGTCCAAAATGCGGCTCTCTACCCCAGCCACGTGATACACAGCCGACTTTCACCGTCCAACAATTTAGATATCGGTATTTTGTGTTTGGATTATTTTGTACTCAAATTCTTTTTTTAGTACAAAATTATTAGTATCACATAATTTTTAATAAATACCAATATAATTAAACTAAAAAAATCTCCCAAAAATCCATTTCCTTCAAAATCATATTTTTATTGGAGCCCTATTCTGAATAGTACCATAGATTTACATACAATCACGCGCATATATATATATATATATATATATATATATATATATATATATATATATATATATATATATATATATATAATATATAGTTATACACACCTTTAGGTGTTACTTGGAATACTCCAAAATTAAAATTGAAAAATTAGAAAAAGAAATATTTTCGAGTTCTAACAGTTTTCAAAGGGAAAACAAAATTACTTCGAAAAGTTTCAAAATAAATAAGAAATTGATTGCCGAAAGTTTTGTTTTTATTTTCAAAATAAGATCAGAAGAAATGTCAAAAATAAATCCAATTCTATTATTCCAATTAAGAGAAGTAGAAGTATTTCAATTGAGCGAAATTAAATAAGAAATTGATTCAATAATAATAAGGGCAAATTACGACTACCCCTGAGTTATGATTAAATTATGAATACTCCTCATGTTTAGGTAATTACAACCACCCCTAAACTATGTATTATTTTACGATAAGACCTCTTCAGAGGTAAATTTAAGGATGTTAATTTGGTAAAACCGAACCGAGATTTCGGTACGACAACATTTAATACCGGTTACCGAACTAAATATACGATTTGGTTAGGTAAATAACCGAATTACATATTTTTTTGTAAAAATATTTAAAAGGAGGGTGGTTGTAATTACCCAAACAAGAGGAATTTTTCGTAATTTGACCGTACGTGTGGGGGTAGCCGTAATTTGCCCCAGTAATAACCATTTTTTTCTTTTTTTTTTTCTTTTTGAGAAGAAACGAGAATATTATTAGGCGATATTAGCCAAATCCATGGGAAGAATTACCACTTCCTTACAAGTACAACCATGATTTTTAGCAATGGTACACGCTGACGAGTTTTCTGAACGTTTAATAAATCGCAATAAGTAAACAACTTTAAATAATAAACAATCAAATAGTGCAGTTCTAGGCCGTTTACAAGGTCAATTTTTTTTTTTAATTTTTTTTTATTAAACAGGGTGACATAAGCCATTATTTATCAAGTTATTGTTGCTTGCAACGTAATTAAAAAAATTAAATATTTATAAATTGTACACATAATTACACACAATGATACAAGTACAACTAACTATATCTTAAATTCTTAATATCTTATTCAATAATTAATTTCTTTCTATAACAAGAGGGGGGCCAAATAGGTCAACCACTTTTCTTGATCACACTGTAATATATAAGCACTACAAAATAACGACAAGCACAAAAAAACATAGTACACACAACAACAACAGATCAACAGCAAATAAGCTGTAAAAGTTGATGTATGAGTGCTTCCTTGCTTGTCTGAGAAAAAGGGTGTCTTGAATTTATATATTTATTTATTATTTTTGTGATAAATAAAAGATTCTTTAAATTCAAAGAGAGAATTCTGCAAGACCCTGTAAACTGAAGGCATGGCATCAAGAATATCAAGCGAAGCATCTCTTCCCACTCAAAGGTAATGCTAAAAATATACTTCACTTTTTATTTATTTATTATTTTTTACTGTAAAAATCCGTTCTTGATTTTGACTCACAATTTTTTTTTTGTGGGTTTCTGTGATTTTGATTTTGTGGGTGTTTGGGATCAGTTTTAAGTTAGTTTGATTGATGAAAGATTTAATTTTTATCATGAATTTTGAGTTTGATATGCGATCTTGATTGTTTAAAAATGGAGTCTTTGAACATATTTGTGTGGTGATGGTTGTACTAATTTGAATTAGTTTAAAGGTATTGAATTTAATTCTGTAATCATTCATTGCAGAATAATGGTCTGTGTTTCAATATTTTTTCCAAATATTTTAGGTCATTTAATTCAAGTTCCGAAAGCCCTAGATCGACCCGTTTCGATTTGGAACATGTCGAAAAGCAGCAACTAATTGAGAAAGTCTCACCGAATAAATCGCCTGAAAATTATCCGAAAATGGGGCTAGATTTGTTTAGTTTCTCAATGAATATAACATCTAAAAACCCATGTGCATTTTTTTCACGATCGCAGATTACTAGGGAAGGTCGCCGTAGTGACAGGTGGCGCGAGCGGCATCGGAGAGAGCATCGTGCAATTATTCCACCGCCACGGCGCAAAAGTCGTCATAGCCGATATCCAAGACGACCTCGGCTCCCAACTCCACGAGCGCTTAGGTGGCGGCTCCGAAATCTCCACCGTCCACTGCGACGTCACGATGGAGGACCACGTCAGAAATGCCGTTGATCTCGCCGTCGAAAAATACGGGACCCTCGATATAATGGTCAACAATGCGGGCACATCGGGCCCACCTTGCCCCGATATCCGCGATTTTGAAATCCCGATTTTCGAAAAGATCTTCGACATAAACGTAAAGGGCGTTTTTATAGGTACGAAGCACCTATAAAAATCTAGGAAATACAAAAATATTGTGCAAAGGGATCCTCAGAGTCACCGCAAGCATGCAGCTGCCTGCCTCTTCAACAAATCTTGCACCAGAACCCTTTTT